GCTGATAAATGCGTTTTACTTGGCGCAACGCCCTCGCGGTGAGAAATATTAAGCGTAAACGATTATTGAAATTTCTTCTGAAAATAAATGTATTAGGGTGGTGCTTAAGCTGTAGGAGAAATATTTTCATTTTGATAAATGAAAAAATCATAGCAAAGTAAGCAATATTAAACACATTTTAGTATGCTATTATTATGCAACTTTTTAATTTCTGTTCTATTGGACCGCCAAATTTTATGGAAATTATAGTTAAAATAAAGTCAATAACTTCCAAAACAAAAAAAAAAACAAATAATAAAAGTAAACTTGGTTTAAAATTTTTTAAAAATAAAGAAGTGTAAGTTTTGATGAAGAGGTCGTTAAGTAATAATTAAAATAGCTGAAAATTGATAAAGTAAATTAATTGAAAAGTTCATAATTTATCATTGCAAATTAAAATGTTTACTCTTTGAAAAAAAAAACTTTTTTTCAGCTATTAATATTTTATTTGAAGGTTTTAAAAATGTATGGAGCCTGCTTTTATGTTGCGTCATTAAAGTGCTGCATTTTTTCAATATACTCTTACAGCTTCAGAAATTTCTGTTTTACATTTTCTTAATTTTTTCGAATTTTTCGCTTTTCGAGAATTTTTAAATAATATACATATGTGTAAAATATGAGTAAATATTTTTATACATATAATTATCTTATATATAAAAAGCTGAAACTAATGACTTTCAAAATTTTCCTAGTTATATTGCTATATTTGTATAAACTTATTAAAACTTCAGAATCACCCTAATATTCAAATTTATCATGTGCTTTACGCAAATTTTGGTGATAAATTTCGTTTCCGTTATACTTTCATAACTGGTTATAGATGAACGTGTGAATTGGAGCATAAGAAGTGAATATTTAACGAGTACTCCAACTCCTGAACTCTGTGACTAAGTGCATTTGTTTGAACAAAAATTTCTTCGAAAGCAAATTGGTAGTAATGTGTAAGAAATATTACGTCAGTTAGTTTTGAATAAAGTGAGGTTGGTATGCATGTATACATATGTACATATGTAGTTTCTATATGTGTGTTTTAAAAATCTAACGAATTGGAATTACTTATATATGTTGGCTATCTCACAGCTCGGAATGGATCTAGTTGCCACATTCCTATTTCATGTAAAAAAAAAACAAAAACTACTCAGTCCAAATATTTTCGCTACTTGACACTTGTTTTGGTCGACTAGTGTCGTTTATTATTACTATTTTTTTTTTGTTTGTATAGAGGTTATAGTCTCCAAATAATAGGCACTACAGATATTGATTGAGACAGATTTTGTGCGACATCGCAATACTTTTATGCTATATGCATAGAAAATTGTCTTAGCTACCCAAAAGGATGGGAACAAATGTATCTTTCACCCACATAATTCTTTCTTCTAAAAAAATTTTTTCATCGGATATTTTGAACTCACATGGGTTTTTAGGGGTATATAATATATAGCTCAAAATAGCCCTGACTTAATTCTCTAAGACATATATTCGTAGGGCTTTCTTGGTTAATCGAATATGCATATGAATTTTATAAACTTGCTTTTGCAAGGAAAGAAAGTTCTCCGGCATCAGAGTGGCCATAAAAGATTCTTTTATATATGTCTTAAGCTCTCACTGCTACCGGTCTTGGACCAAGCACCCTCTGGGTAGCCAAAAAACATCTGTGTGCAGGCGAGCTAAAGTAAGAAGGCGAAACACCCTCCCCAGGGCTGTGCTCTTCGTTTCGCGCCCGCCACGTAGAAAACGCTATCCATGAAAAGAAAAGAAACAGCTTCGGATGAGAGATCCCTCTTTTCGCTGCTGTAAACTCGGCTATAACCGCGAAAGCGGTGTTTACGCCAATAAAGAAGAAGAGGAAATGAGGTCAGAACGTTATAATGATGAATATGATGAAACATTTATATATAACCTTAAACATCAACAGTGACAGGTCGAAAATATATAAAAAAACGAAATATTTATATATTCATTAAGAAATAATTTCAAATACTGTTTATCAAATCAGACTAGAGTAATCTAACTCAGCTCCGATTAAGGTTACTATATACGTCAGGTAATGAAAAACTATTTTCTGTCACCTGTAAACGACCCACTAAGTGGCCCATAATTTTGGAAAAATGTCTCTAAAATATTACTTTGACGACATTATATCTTTAAAAGACACTCTAATCTAAATCTAATCATTTTTATACAGGAGATAATTATTTATTTATTTGCCTTTCGTGTTTGTTTGACTGGAATTTGACTTGATAATTACCATTTCAGATCTATCATAATACTATCAGAACCTCGTAACTTAAGAAAGATGAATTTATTGCACCTTTGCTTCACAATTTTTGTTTTATTTCGGCTAATTTACAACAATTTCGATAAAAAAAAAAGTTTCAATATTTTTCAGTCCAACTGATATCTCCTTATGACTTAATCGTTTTATAATACACAAACATATATGGTAGCTGTAATCATCGACTCACACTCCCTATCTCTGACCACTGCAAAGCCACTAATGTCCACTACAACAACGTGGCAGTAATTGTCTAACTGAGAAGCTAAACTTTTTATTTGATTCTATACCAAAAATTGAAAAGAGATAAACTTCAGTTGTGCTGATATACAAAATGAGCTCATAATCGTTTAAAAATAATGATTATAACATTACAAGTCAAGCGAATTGCCACTGTAAATTTCTCATAAACTTATCATAAAAATATACATATGTGTATATACTACATATATACTCACAACCAAAGGTGCTATTTTAGAGTGAAACAAAAACAATGTGAAGGCAGAAATTCCTCAGTGAGTTGCAGACACTTGAGCTGACGACAGGTGCTAAGTATTGTTGATTTATCTCATTGTGCTTTATCTGCTAACATCTAAATATTTTATTTGCAGTGACAAGGTGTCTGTACAAATTCTCGAGTCAAGTATGCATTCCCGTTTATACACCGCGTTTTCAAGAATGTTTTTGTAAACTTAAGAGTGTTTGAAACTTTGACGCCTTTAAATTATTTTCTTCAACTCCAACGGCGGTTCTTGAACTGGTACTAAACCAGCCATCTATATCTAAACTTTCTTCTACATATATTTTTGTGTTTTCATATAACTTAGCATTGCTGGATGCTAAATTTTTAGCAAGTCGAATATTTTCTGAGATATCTTTTCGTAATATTTGTTCATATTGCCACGTCGAGGCATTTTTATTTGGTAACTGTGAATGAGTTAAGGAGTTCTTGCGTTTACTAGCATTCAACACTCCTTGACATTAACCTTAGTTAAGGTGTTCTGTACTACTGTACTGCCCTTTAATTTATCTTCACATGTGTATCGAAATAAAATAAGCATGAGAATGTGGCAACGTTCAGGAATAGTCGTGGATGCTATTCAAATTTAATAATTTTTTTTTAAATAATATAGGTATTTAATTTTTTTATATAGATTAGTTGATGTCCACGCTAAGGTTTAAGTGGAGCAAATAGCTGTGTGACAGATAAACATTTTCTTACAATTTTTTTGACAAAGTAAATATGTAAAAAAATAATAGCAAAAATTAAAAGCATGTTTACATATTTTATTTTAAAAAACAGAATAAAAAAAATTCAAAACACCTTGTATATTTTTAAAAAACTTTGAAAACTCAAACATTTAAAAAATAATAACAAAAACTAAAAGAATTGGTGAATATTTTATTTTTCAAAAAAAAAAAAAAAATTCAAAACACCCTACATATGATTTTTTAGGAAAAGTAAATATTTAAAAAATAATAACAAAAACTAAAAGAATTGGTGAATATTTTATTTTTCAAAAAAAAAAAAAAAATTCAAAACACCCTACATATGATTTTTTAGGAAAAGTAAATATTTAAAAAATAATAACAAAAACAGAGAAATCGGTGATTGTTTAATTTTTAAAAAAAGAAAAAAATTCAAAGTTTTTAAATATCCTGTATATTTTGCAAATTTTTTTAAAACATAAACATTCAAAAAATAATGACAAAAATAAAACGAATCGCTGAATATTTTATTTTTCAAAAAACAAAATTTTTAAAAATTTTAAAACACCCTGTAAATGAATTTTAAAACATTAGATTAAATTCTAAATGTATGTATATTTTATCAAAAAGGTCGTTCATTGTCGTACATTGACGCAAATATACACATGTAAATGCATACATACTACATACATATATACTATTTAATGACCACTATCTGCACTAACCAGCGATTAGTAATTATCACTTAATTAATGATGATGTTAGCGCGTTTTTATTTGTTTTCTTTTGCCTGTAGCTAAGGTGCAATCTCTGTGCTTTGTAACGGTGATTACTGTGCTTGCGACAAGGTAAAAATATGTACTCGTCTGTATGTATGTATGTATAAATAAATTTATAGGTGAGTAGCTGAGAAATTACTCATTCAGTTTAAAGCTAAAGTAAATTTGGCGCAAGCCGCTTGAAACTTTTGCTAGTTTGAGTAGCTTTTTTGTGCAAATAATTGTGTTTACTTTGAAATATATTTACATATATATAAATGCTTCAAGTAGGCACGTGCTGTGTAAATAATTTTATCAGCTTATCTATTTACATGTTTCACACAATAAACTAATAAATATTTAATTTAAATTAAACATACACACACGCTTAAATTCAACCTTCACACGCCCACTTTTCAGCCTACTTTCCACTTTAATTAGTATTAATACCATAAAAAGATTTGTAATTGCATACTTTTAGGCATTTTTAAACTAATTTTGAAATTATGCCGAAACATATCCATACACACATATGCATAAGAGACACTCCTATTCACATGTATGCATAAGCTCAAATATTTTAGCTATTTTTTTATTTTTGCTTTTGAAAATTATAGCAGTTTAGTTTAAAAATATAATTTTATTTTCAAAAAGTTGTATGTATGTACTGTTTGTATATTTTTAACAAGATATAAGTTCCCTCTCCTGCCTTCACTCACCTGATGCTGCGATGTGGATGATGTTTCCTTAACACTACTACTCGAACTCGTGTTTATGTGTCGCCCCACGGTCGTTGTTGTTGCACTGCTCAAACCATTACTGCCATTGCAGTTACCCACCGTGAGGCCATTGATGCCGGGCGTTGTAACTGTAGTAACTGTAACGACGCCACCACCACCACCAACACCAACATTTGTTGTTGGTGTGCTGCCATTTTTCTTGTGGAAATTTTCAATTAGCGACGAGGCCGGACTGGAGACGCCACTATGTGAACTATCCGAAAAATCTGACATCTGGAAAAAGAAAAAAAATATTTTTAAAAAATTTTAATAAAACTCGAAATCAGCTACATTGCTATTAAAGCACTTTTTCTAAGAGTTTTTCTTTAAAACAATCAATGTTTTGCTTCTCAGTTAACCGATAAAGCGATTTAGCCAAAATCGTGAGTTTTTTTTTTTTTTAATATTTCTAGTTTGAGTTTATTGGTCGAAACATAATTTACATAATGTAAAATCACATCTATAAGAGCGAAAACGAAATAAAATCATTCTACACTTATACTTAAGCTAGCTGAGGAAGATGTTAACCCTTTACCCCCAACTGAATTCCTTAAAGTGTTTTCCGGTTTACTAAGTATTTTTCTCAAAATATGTGCTTAAATTTCGTAAATTATATTAAGTGAATATTTACAAGTTCTTCGGAAAAGTACACAATATTTTTTTTAGTCTACTCCCATCTATCAAAATCAAAGCACTTATTACAATAAGTATTATATTTCATTCATTCATATGTAATATTTGCAAACGACTATCAATAGATGGTTTATTCCGTCGCATTTTCTCGTCAAGTATTAATTTGCCTCTAATTTACTTTTGATAAGCAATTGATTGCACTTCATTACGTGGCATTCAGCAATTATAACAGTAGACATGCTGCCGACAACTCTTATAAATGAATATACACACATATGTACAGCATGAATAACGGTGACATGCATAAAGCATGTAGTTGGCGACGCGATAAGATGTTGCCAGTTAATTGCGGCAATCATTTATAAATCAATCTAATATAACAGTAAATGTGCAAATGAACAAGTGCTTTGATTGACAGCATCGGCACCAACATATACGGCATACATTCAAAGTGGAATAAGGTTGAAGGTCACATCAGAAACGCCAGATAAGCAGTATATACTATTACAATAAAAAACGATTGAAAAGTGGCAAAGTGACTCATTTGAACTAAAAAATTAATCAAATATTATTACTAATGATATAAAAATCTTTTGTGAGCACTAACCATATATCTATCAATTTTTTTTGAATTTTTTATTAATTTTTTCTTCACTTGTGTTTTGCTTTTGCATTATGGTGAGACATTCCCAAAATAAATCCAAATGCTCTCCACTACTTGGCAAATTTTCATAGAATGGCGAAATATGAAGAGGCCAGCCGGTTAAGGAGCAGCAGAAGCTGGCTTTGATTCTTAACTTGCGCCACCCACGCGCTGATTGATTCTACGGGTAACAAAAAAAATGCTGATCGTGCGCGAAACATCGTTTATCGTTTGCTGTTGCATATATTACAAGAAAAGCATAATTAGCCCACGCAACGTGCAATGAGAACAGATAATCATAACCCAGTAAGCAGATTTAGTAGTTCAAAAGAGCGTTGCTTGAAAAGGCTGAATGTTGACCGTGTATAAATAGTTACCACAAATTTACTATAATTCACTAGTTTGAACATCAATTAATAGTACTAGCGTGAAAAATGTTCCACTTCCATCGGAGGGGCGTGAAAAATTTTTGAAAATTTTAAGAAAAGGAAGACATGCAAAACTCAATACCATGTAGGTGCAAAGCCCAAAATTTCCATACACGCTTATAGACTTACACGAAGAAAAGTCGCCGAAATCCCTGAAATTTCATTTTGGGTTGATGTTTCCATTAGTACAATGCAAAAGAAATTACGAAAATCTGATTTTAAAACTATGTCGCAAAACACGACCATCATAGATCATTGTGAGTGGGAAAAACAGACTAGAGTTTGCAAAACAGTATCTAAATATGCCAACCTCATTTTGGAATAAAGCAATTTAGACCGATGAACCAACATTCAAGGTGAGGAGTTCAAAAAAACAAAAAAAAAACAGAAAGCGAGTGTGGTGTAAGCTTTTTGATCGCTCAATGCAGCGTGGAGGAGGTTCTCTCATGTTTTGGGACTGTTTCTCAAAATTTGTTTTAGATAGACGAATGACGTCATAGTCGACGTACTAATAGTACAGAAAAAATTACTTTGGGTCGTTTATCTTCCAACAACATAACGACCCCAAATACTCAACTTACCTGGCCACTCGATTTTTTGAAAAAAGCTTAATCGCAAAATTGAACTGGCCAGATCAGTCAGCGGATTTTAAGCCAGTTGAGTGTTTGCGATCAATTTTTACACCAAAAAATAAGCGTACTAAGTTGCAACAATTTTTTCTAGAGATAAAGCGTCAATAGGATAATACTCCATTGACAATATTAGAAAATTTGGTTGGAAGCATGTCAAAACGTCTTGGTGCAGTAATTCAGAACAAAGGCGAGAATACTAATTACTATATTTATAAATCAAACTTTTGCTTCGCAATAGACAAAAGGTAAATGTGAATGAATTATTTGATGGTATTTCGAAAGATTCTACTCATATGAAGTATCTGTATAGAGATAGTTTTGAATAAGCGCGAAACTTAAGCAGAATATATCAAGATCGCATTCTCAATGTTTACCTTGCAAATTTTTAATCAGCTTCCCTGAATTTTATAACATAAAAATAGTGAATACATTAGTTTGTTATTTATACTTTATTGTCTTACCAGTCTTTTAAATGAAAACGGGGTGATTGTTAACTGGAAATTATCCCCATACATTCATTACCACAGTTGTGGCGAAATAACATAAATTTTTCAAGTTGCCACATGTAACTCGGTGGCAATACTCAATGGAAGTATCAATTAAATACGTAATTACTGTCCACCCACAAGTTTAATGAAGTATTCAAAATAATTACTAGTCAGAGCAGTTAAGCCGTCAATTGTCTTTTCCGACAGTTGTGTTGATATCGTACATTAAAGCTTATGATAGTTAGGTGGAACCAGAGTAAAACAAAAAGTAAGCGACGGAAAATTTAAAAGGGAAATTTATTAAAAATACGACATGTGTATTTTTCACATAAATTTTGAGTTTATCTGCAAAAGGTGCATAAACAAAAGTATTGAACTTTTCATTGCCTTCAACTTTGCAATATAAATTTTTTCTACAGGACTCGTAGTTTTCCCATAAATTGAGTTATGCCGTTTTCAACCCTTAAAAGTTCAATCACGTCAATCTCGTTCCGCTCTTTTCCCTACTGCAGATCCTTCCTTTAATTTTTGTTAACGTTATTTTAATTTATTTCGTACTGACCAGCTTTGTCTGAAGCATAGGGTGGTTCAGAAGCCAATACAGAGAGGGGACTTTAGTTAAAATGGTATTGCAATGGACCTCCTAAAGGTCTAACCTTGTTATTTTATCTTACCGTTAGAATGATTTTCATCGTACTGATTTTTTTTATAACTTCATTGCCACAGGGTTGCATTCAATCAGCTTTCAATATTGGCACTAGTACAACAAAACCTACTCAGCCACACCCACTCAGCTTCATTAGCATGCGTAAACCATATACATTTTATGCGTTAGATTTTCAAAAATATTTTAATTAATTTGAGGCAAAAAATGCTTAACAACTCAATCTGCATATAAATTGCCATAAGTATTTCGAAAAATCATAAATCATAAATAATTCATTCAGATATGACAAATGCACGTAGCAAATGAAATACGACTAATGACTTGATTAAGATGTTATGAAATTTATGAAAAAAAAAATATATATATATATTTAACAGAAAAGAAGAACAGCTAATTAATGTGTGCGCCGCTAAAGCTTCTTATCGGCGATGAGTGATTTCGACAAGCAAGACAAGCTTAAGCCCAACAGATGGCTGCAATTTAACAAATCGATGGAGAATTAAAAATTGACAAACAAATAATCGACGCAGATAACTGTGAAGTCGCGATTTTCAAAGCGTTTGAGACAAATGTTGTACATCACAAACATATTAGTATAGTTGAGTAGTAGTAATAAATTTTCAATTGTGCTTGGGCGGCTTCAGCGCCACAACTATAAAATACATATACTCGCCATCACAATGTTTATTGTTTGCATATGTAAATATCATATGCAAATCAACTTAGCTTGACAATGAGTGAATTGTGTGGTGCAATTGGTCAGTTAGAGCCAAGTCAATACCTGCTACTATTCATATTCACCGATATGTTATAATGTATTGTATGTGGAGATAATCTCAACAGATTTAATTACATGAAAAATGCATTGGCGTATAAATCTAAAATGCAAATCGTGTTGTCAAAGGAAATCCCACGATTTAAACATTTATTTTTATAGAAAATATGAAAAAAATACATTATGAATAGATATTCATACACAGACATCACAGTTGAAAGCACATAAAATGTATATATGCAAATCGATGCAGCGCAAACACCCCGTAGGGAAAATATAATGTGAAATGTCCTGCCTCTTAAATTATATATGGGGTAGTAAACTGTAACCATTAGAAAACAAACCACTACATAGGCAGTTTTATGGCCAACAAAAATGGCAATTTTGGTGCAAATATATTATGATTGTATTCAAGGAATTCGGAATCGCTTGCTTCTTAATATATGAAAATATAAGAACATAACCTGAAAATGTAAATAAAACGCAAAATATTTAATTATCACTTTTCAAAAGCACTTTTTGGCCTTCAGCTCCTTCAGAGAATTTTGGTTTATCTCTTCGATGGACTGAAAACGGATTCCACGAAGCGGCCACTTCAGTTCAGGAACACATGTTCTCACGCAACCGCCTCAATACAGCCAAATTCAGCTCTTCATTGACCGTCTGTTCCTCCGGAACAAATTCATGATGCATCAAACCACGAATGTAGAAAAAATAATGATCATCACTTTGATTTTTGAGTGGCTTTGGCGTAGTTTTTTTGGCTTCGGCCCGATTTTTTCCTCCATTCCGATGATTGTTGACCTTTTTGCTTGTCAAATTTATAAACTTATGTCTTATTGTCAGTCAATACTCTTCATGAAAGTAGGATCAGAATTCGCATGATCAAACATGTCCAAAGAGACCTGTTTCCGGTACTCTTTAAAATAAATCAACTTTATTAGAACGAGTCGAGGAAGAACGCGTTT